CGCGGGCCTCCTGGGCGTCAGGGGCGGGACGTGCGTGCGGGCGGCGGCGGCGGCGGCCCTGTAAACAGCCGAGCGCGGGGCGAAACGCAGGTCACGTGCACAAGTGGGAGAGGAAAACGCCGAGCGCGCGGAGCCCCGTGTGCCGTAATGGTGAGACGGGTGTGCGCGTGGCGTCCGTTCACAGCGCGCCCTAAGTGTCGTCAACACAGCACGCGTACCAACAACTTCAGGGATTTTACTCAACAACTTAATTAACGAAGGAACCAGTGACGCGACAAAGCTGGTTCACGGGCATTGGGAGGAACTGGGTACTTAACAGACCTCCTGAGAAAGCAAAGCAAGGCTGTTCGGTTGCAGAAAAAGCTGGTTAGCATCCTACCAGAAAGAACGGTAGGCTGTCTTTTTCTAGTGGATAGAAATGATATGCATCTCTAATGGACTAAAATCTACAAATTAATGTATATTCTCATAAGGTACCTATGGGCTCTAATGAATTGTAAAGTCAAGACGCAGATAAATTGCCCTATGACATTAGTTATGGAACTTTCTGGACTTAAGACCCACTTTTGCTCTTAAAATTTCTTGGACACTCAAAAGAACTTGTTTATGTGGGTAATGCTTGATAGTTACCATATTAGGAATTAAAATTTTTAAATGTTCATTTATTCGTTTTTTAAACTCTAAAAAGCACGTTGCATGTTAACATTTTTATGAAGAAATAATATTCTTCAAAGTAAAACGTTTAGTGGGAAGAGTAGCATAGTTTCACATTTTTCACGTCCCTGCAGCGTCTGGCTGGACAGAAGGCAGCGAGAGTCTGAAACTGCAGCAGCGGTGCTTTGCAGCGTGTGGCTTGGACTGGTGTATGTGAGGAAAGCCCATCACGGAGCAAGTGGCTGGAAATGAGGGGATTGTTTGAATTGTCTTTTCAGATAACCATATTATTCTTTGAATCGACACCCAAATTTGACTAGTGGTAGTTTCTTAAAGGTTAGTCGCAATGTGGAATCTGAAATGTCAGTGAATGCTTCCTACTTTGTCACACTGATATCCATCAGTCTGTCCTCAGAATGAATCTTTTATGAACTCAGAGGTACAGTCTTCCTGAGCATGCACAGGTACCAGTACCGGTTTGTGGCCTGTTAGGAACCGGGCTGCACAGCAGGAGGTGAGCGGTGGACGAGCTAGCGAAGCTTCATCCGTATTTGCTCCCCAGGGCTAGCATCACCGCCTCGGCTCCACCTCAGATCATCAGGCATTAGATTCTCATAGGAACACCGGTCCCTGGTGCCAAAAAGGTTGGGTACCGCTGGTGTGAGCTGCCCATCTCGGTGCTTTGTTACGGCAGCCCAGGCGGACGCAGCCACTGCCTTGATTCCTACTAAGACAGTAGCAGTCTTGGGCACCGCTGCTTTGGCACCATCTTGCAAATGTCTACAGTAAAAAAGCAAAGAGCATCATGGTATTATTTCGACCTTGGACACCTCTCAGGGGTTCACTATACTCTGAGGACCGCTGCCCTGGAGAATTAAAGCATCCTGGAATGAACCCGGCATGGAATGCCTTAGTACGACTTGGAAAGGACATGCAGCCACCTTACCGCTGTATTTCCAAGTTTTGAATAACATCCGAAAGCATCACAAATAGAGCAGAGACTGCCTCTGGGGAAAGGGGTCAGGGGAACAGGAATAAAACAGAAGAGGCCTTTGAAGTCAGTACCATGTGTTTGCATTACTTATTCAAAAAGTAAATAACTTTTTAAATAAAGAGTCGAAAGCTAAACATAATTTTATACACTCCAGTAGTCACACTCATGTATTTACCCAACTGATCCATACGAACACATATGCAAATGTTTCGAGCGGCTTTCCTCATAATTGCCAAAAACTGGAGGCACCCCAGAGGCCCTCCAAAAGAAGAATGGAGAGACAAACTGTGGGCCATCCATGTAAGTAAATTCTATCACCAGTAAGAGGGAATGAGCGCTAAAGCGACGAAATATCAGTTGGTGTTAAATGTGTGTTGCTAAGAGATAGAAGCCAGTCTAAAAAGGCTGCTACGGAATGTGACATTCTGAAAAAGGCAGAACTGTGGAAGCAGGACTCAGATCAGGGGTCGCCAGGGGTTGGGTGTGAGAAAAGGTTGAATGGGTGAAGCACAGCGGCCGGGAAACTTCCATTCGGTACTGATGACGGACACCTGGCACCAGGGTTATGGAAACCGGAGACCTTTACGACAAAGAGTAACCTTAACGAATGCAACTTTTTTTAAAAATCACTTAAGGGATTGGGGATCCTGGAAGGGAATGCAGAATGTGACAGGGTAATCGAACTGCGTTGCAAATGAACGTACCAGCCTCACTGAAGGGAGCCGCTGACCTAGGTAGCTCTGGAAATGAGCGGAGTCGCTGGGGCTAAAGGGAAAAGGAGCTGCACGTAGACACTTCAATCTGTGTTGCATCCCACGGGTGTGGGTTAGCAGTTCTGAAATCCGACACACATGCAGTGGAAATGGACAGTACATGGCGTGGGGGGTGGAGCCAGGCTTCTGACTGCTGGCATGGGCGGTTCCAGATAAGCAAGGAAAGAGCCTAGAATGGTCCATGTGGTGAGGGTTAGAGCTGGAGGCATCAGAATGAGCTTGTGTTTAGCATAACACAGAGGCAGACGGCTACATACAAAACTGCTTAGAGGAGCATGTATGCACGGAGCCACATGTATTTACACGTGTGTATTCCCTTGGTCTCCCAGCCCAGAAATGACACGCACGTCGGGCACCCAGGTCCTGGTTTCTAGCCCCATCTCCTGAGGAGGAGCCAGGGCTCCTTGGAGTAATGGCTGATTCTCGGGCTGGGGCAGGAAACATACGAATTGAGCCTGGACCATCTTGTAGTGCAAAATAGGAAGTGCTCAGAGAGGAAATACCCACCAAGGGCGAATGACGAAAGGACACGGGAGCCGACTAAAAGGGCGTCCCACGGCCTAAGCTGGAACAGTTTGACAAACAAATGGGTGATACTAAGTAACTCTGATCACCCGGAGTACAGAGTGGATACGCGTGAGCCAGCACTGAACTCATACTGTGTGCTCAGGGTGCTGCAGCTCTGCCCACCAAGGGCTGGGACGCGGCACCCTGTCCCCTGAGTGTTGGCTACACACAGGGACCACCCGCCAAGGAGCACAGCCTGGAAAGGAGGGAGGGCGACAGTTGGGCGGGGATGCCTGGTAGACATGACCTCAACCAAGAGACCAAGGTCGGCATCGCAGCGGTCAGCCACGATGTTAGCACATGTCCTTGACATGACATGCCGAGAAGAGCACTTCGCTGCAGTCTTGCACCAGACAAACCCTGTTTGAGGGACTTGCTACGAAGCACCTGGCCAACCCTCCAAGTTGTCAGGTCTCAAAAACATGGAAAGTCTGACAAACTGTCACAGCCCACAGGAGCCCCAGGTGTCATGTGGCGTCCTGAGTGGGGTCTCGGAACAGAAAAAAGACACTAGGGAAAAACGAAGAAAATCTAAATGAAGACTTCGTTAGTAATCATCCATTTCGGTTCGTTCATCGTATGTCGAGGAATGAACCTTGCCAATGTGTCACGTTAGTGGGGCGGGCCGGTTGTGTGGCATACGGAAACGCTGTGCTGTCTTAGCGGTTTTTCTGTAAATCTAAGATTATTGTAAAAAGTTTTTTTAATGTATTGAAAAAACGATCACCGTCCATAATGCTATCCTCTCCCCCCAAAGCAGGACGAGGCGCCATGTTGGGGTTGAGGCAGAGGGGCCCCCACCGCCGTTGCTGGCCCTGTGGACGGCGGGCAGCTGCTTTGTGAGAAGTCTCTCTCACCGGCGGAGGCCATGCCACCTCCAGGTGGCTCCCATGCACGGGGAGGTGTGCAAACCTGTGCCCATCGCACAGGTCACAGCTCTGTACCTGAAACTCAGAGGCGAGATGAGTTCCAGACCTTTACACCACGTAGGATGTCAGAGCCCGCTATGCACGCCAGGTCGGCCGAAGACTGTAAAAGCCCACTTACAAACAGACACATCTCATCCAGCCAGTTTTGGCCGCCAAATGAATTTGTCTCAAAATTACAAAGGAAAAAAAGTTATGACCTCAATTTTCAGAGCTTTGGGGATTTTGGAATTCCAAGGAAGTGCTCCAGGGCTGAAAGAAAATAAGAGCACTGAGGTGGCCACGCTGCAGGGGGCGGGACGCGCTGCCACCGTGCGGGGCACGCAGCTGGCCTCGACCACGTGCCCCCATCGCGTGCTGTCACGAGGCCCCTCCGTGAGAGGACACGGAGGCTGGAGCCGCGGGGAGCGGGGCCTGCTCAGGGAGGTTGGGATGCTGTGTTCCTGACCCCCGTGCCCCGCTGCCCCTGCAAGGCCCTTCAGGGACCTGCCCGTGTGCACAGTGGGTCCCTCCCCTCCAAATGCACCCCAGCTTCTCCAGCAGACTCTCCGGGCCTTGCCTACGTCACAAGCTAGTCCCAGAGAGGACGCAGCTGCAGGTCCCTCCTCTGGCCCGACCCACAGGCTCTGTCGTCCACGCGACGGCCTGGCTGCTTTCTGAAAAGGGGACCGGACAGACAAACCCACGTCTCCACGAATCAGCCTCCCGCGCAGGGGATATTTGTGTAATTTACGAAAATGACCTTAAACCCAGAAGCAACCAGAAGAGGGTACGTGACCAACACCGTTTCTCCTCAACAGACGTTTATTAAGAGCCGCCGTGCAGGGCTCTGAGCAAGGTGCTTTCCTCAGTCTGTGCTGCACAGAGGTGGCCAGTGCTCCCGGGGCGGACAGAAGCGAGGGCTGGCCCGTCCTTAGGGGCACACATGCTCGCAGCCATGTGGGCCATCTCTGCCTTTGTCATCGTTGGAGCGGGAGGCCAAACCAAATGCCATTTCCCAGGAGGTCAAACCATGGCCAGGGTGCTTTCCAGAAAGTTCCGCTACCGCGCTACTGCCGCGCCAGCAGGAAGCCCCTCCCCAGCCTCCTGCAGCCCTGCGGGTCACTCTCTGCCCTTAGAGACAGCGAGCGTGAGAGACTCACTGTTTTGCGGGGAACGGTGAGTTCAAAGGGGAGGTGGGCGGGGAGTGGGCGAGGCGAGAATGGCTTGGAAACCAGGGACCTGCAGGCCAGAGGGCTCCCTGTGACGTAGGATGGGTCCAGGTTCCCACGGGGAGCCCTCCCGCCCCTCAAGCCTGGATGGGCTCTGGCCGCATCACAACCTCTGCCCACTGGGGGGCAGAGAGCCACCAAGGCCACCCGAGCTCTTGGCAGGATGTTCAAAGCCGTGATTGACGTAGACGCAGTCGGCTGGGCGTGCTGGGGAGGGGTGCTTTGAGCAGGAGGCCGTTCCGGCCACCGCTGCCTCCTCTTCCAACTCCTGCTCAAGCACCAGAGCCGGGTTGACGTCAGGCCCTGCAGAGGGACCGACAGAAAGGAATGAGGTCAGGGAGGTGGCCTGCGGGGCGCTGCAGCCGAGAAAGGAAGGTCAGAGCTGCGTCCTGAGCCTCCACTGCACCTCACGCAGCCGTCGCTGTACCCGAGCCCGAAAAGCCAGTGGCCAGCTCAGCTGTCACCGGTGCCAAGCCCCCACCTAGCTGCCTTCCAGAGCCAGTCCCCACCGTCAGCACGACCTTGCAGGGTGCCCCGTGACCTCCGATGGCCCCCACGGCCCTCTCCCCTTCCTTCCGGGACCCCCCCGCCCCCCGTGCGCACCCACAAGCACGCCCTGCGGGGAGTAGCTGGCCCTCGCTCTGCAGCAGACGCAGCGCCAGGCGGGCAGCACTCACCCAGGTAGCTGAGGACGACGGGCAGGAAGACCAGTCCGTGCAGCAGGCCCAGCAGGGTGAGGACGAGGCTGAGGCGGAAGAAGAAGATCTGGACGAGCTGCGCCTTGGCCAGGCCCAGGACCAGGATGCCCGGCATGTTGGTCATGGCCACCCCGGCGAACACCTGGGGGTCATGGGCCGGTGTCAGGTTGGCACGCGGCAGCCAGCCCAGGGCTTCGAGTGGCGCAGCCACCTACTCACCGCACTGCCCATGGAGGTAGTGGCCTCCTTGGCCCTCTCCAGCCGCGTGGGCTTGGTGCTGATGGCAAAGGAGCGGGTGATGTGGGACACGAACTCCACGGAGATGCCCACTGCCTGTGGGCAGAAACGGGGTTTCAGCCACGAAGGGGTGGGGTGCAGTCCACCTGGGCCAGCAGGCAGCACTAGACCCAGGAGAGAACAGCATGTCCCACGCAGCTGACCGTGACCAGGTTGATGAGGGACACAGCGTTGTAGCTGATGCCCCACAGGGCCATGAAGCCCACGGTGTCCACCAGGATCATGAGGATGGAGAAGAGGTTGAGGAGGCCGGAGCGAAGGTCCATGCCCAGCAGGAGGCAGCAGATGGCGAAGGTGGGCAGCAGGCAGAGCCCCAGCGTGGCCAGCCCCTCAGGCAGCAAGGTCAGGTACTGCTCGTAGAACACGCTGGTGACCCTGCAGGTGGCAGCGCAGTCACATGTGGCGGTGAGGCCTCCGCGCCCACCTCGGGAGGACATCGCAGCGCCCACCCACCCGGCCCTGCGGCCTCACGTGTAGGGGAAGACCTCGAAGGCGGGGTCGGTGCCCGGCACCCTCCGCAAGTCAGCGGTGATGTTGGCTGCCAGCGCCCGGGTGGCCCGCAGAGCCTCCGTGTACTCGTGCGAGTCCCTCAGCGGCGTGTGGTAGGCCATGAAGCGTGAGGCTGGGACAACGGGGACGGAGGTCAGAGCCAGCTCCTGCCCTCAGGGCCGGGGGCCTGGGCCAGGGCGCAGCCGCCTCCGCTATCAGATTCATGACAAAATCAGGGGAAGGGGCCTAGAGTTTGGACGGAGCCCAAGGGGCTC